CGCCGGCATTGATGTGGTCGCAAAGGTCGCGGGAGAGGGGTTGATTGACCTCCTGATTACGGATGCCACCCCGAGCTCCCTGGTGGCATGGCGGGCGGGCGTCGTGGCGTGAATGAGCTTTGTAGTTGCCTCTAGATCCCCTATAGAGGTAGGGACCTCCAGCCATAGGTTGGAGGCCATCGGCACCATGTTGCTGGACTCCTCCATCATGGTGAGAGCGGCAGCTATGAGCTAACGTGGTGGAGTAAGATGGGGCATTATTTCAGAACTCGTTGACTTGGACTTGCGCAGCTATGATATGTGCTCGGACCTTCTTGACCTCTGGAGTGTGAGGGCGTTTGTCGAGCTCATTGAAAGCGACAGCTAGATTGGTGCTCGGGGTCTGGTAGACTGGCTGGTCGCCCACCATGTCGAACGCTTCTTCTAGATTATGTTGTTGGACGGGCAGGCTGCGGCCATCCTCGTCGGCCGCTTGGGCTACTTCTGCATCTCGACAACGTTGGTGATCGGCATTTTTCGCTAGACGAGCTTAGCGCTCTTCAGCGGTTTCGCCGTCCTTGGTGACGCTGTCATGGCTGACGTAGAAAATCATGCCTCCGAACCCCGAAGGGAAGGTAGGGCAGCTCAGCACGGTCTGGGTTGAGCCCTCAGAATAATCGTCGAGGGTCTCATCTAGAATGTTGTGGAGAGAGTCAGTCGGAAGATCAAAATCATCCGAAAGCTGACGAATAGCCACCATGTTGACCACGGGCGTAGGCTAACCGGAGTCAGTTGGGTTGATCATGTAGAGATCGGTGGCGTGGTCATGCTCAACGTGGTCGATGAAGATTTGGTGGACGACGTTCTAGTACACAGATCCCGCACCCTCTAGCCCAAAAGGATAGGGCCTTGGGGAGTTCTCCGTCAGGGCCTCGTAGTAGGCCAAGCGTAGGCCGGTAGCGAGAAGTGGTTGGCGCCACACCGTGCGCCCCTTTGGAGTAGCCGTGATCACCATATCAGAGTCCGGTCGCCTCAAACGGTGTGGCCGAGCAAGTTGCACGGTCGCAGCGGCTTGGTGATCTTGGAGTGTAGGAAAATCGTCACCCGCTCTAGATCGGTCTAGGACCGAATCCACGAGAAGCTGATATTCTTTTAGGCTATCAGTGACCCGATCGATGGATGCGATCAAATCATCACTGCTGATAGATCTCTTAACCTAGCGGCGGGGCGCCGGGATCGAAGATGTCGTTCTAGGTGTCGGTGCCATCGGTGTAGGGTAATCCTGCACCATCTCCATGATCCTCCCGTTGTCATTAGGGCCGATGACCCAAGTCATGGATCCGATCATGAAGATCTGGCCCGGCTCGGGAAGGGCCATGGAGCTCAAAAAGGTAACCATCTGGTTGGCCATGAATTCAGCACGCACACCCCCTACCTAGCGCGCTATTGTCGATGAAATCTGGTCGGCAGTCTACCGAGGGGTATGCCCACGGTAGTAGATGAATCGGTGGAGGTGCGGGTGAGAAAACCATATGGTGACACAGAACGCAAGAGAGAGCGATTAAACAGGTTCGGGCCGTCGGCTTGACGTAATACCCTACGTCATGTGTCCTTGTGGATTGGATTGCGTGTGTTCAGATGAAAACAAAGGGGTCCCTACTCGCCTTATATAGCCTGGGCAGTAGGGTTACAGGTCGGTTGTTTCTATCCTGATCGGTTTACAAGATAGGAAGTTACAAATATCACAGTAATCTAGCATATCCGAGTAGATTTTGTAGATCGCCAAGAATCATCACGCAGTCTTGCGAGGCATGCTGACTTACGCCGTACTTCACGCGGCGTCGTCTTACACGTTGGGCCTTGACTGGTGGCACAGCCCATGCGTGGTCTCGTGGGCTGGGCCTCCCCTAGCGGATCGGCACATGTGCAGCCCTGTGGGTATCGGGGTATCGGGGTTATACCCCCACCAGCCCTAATAAACTTTGGTAGAATAGCACATGTATTTCCAACATGAAGTAGGCTGGGGACCATTGTTTCAAGAACTGGAGGGGCAAGGCCTTTACTGAAATATATTAAATGTAAAAAAAAAAAAATAATTATAGGAGAACAGAGGGTGGGGGAGGTCAAAAGGAGAAAAGGTTAAGAAACAAAGAAGGAAGTAAAAAAGAAAAAAAGTGAGATTACAAGAAGCTTTCTATCCATGAAGTTAAGAGGAGCTTAATTCTACTTTTTAGTTTTGACCCTGTATAACAACAAGGCACTCCATTAGAGAAAATTTTCTTGCACTTTAATACAAATGGTTGAATTCCCCTAAAGATAAGGTCATTCCTTTTATCCCATATACACTAGCAAAGTAGAATGAAGATGTCCATGAAGAATGGCTGGTTATTAAGATGTATCTTAAAAAATTCCGATGCTTGAAATCTTGAGAGAGATTGAGGCTACTAGAAATTGATGAAGTTCCAACAACTTGCAACAAATGGGCATTGAAAGAAGAGTTATTCCAAGGATTCCTCAGTGTTGCAGCCACAGAGGACATAGTCAAAACTATCCAAGTGCCTGTTTATCCTTTTGAGTATGTTCCTTGTGCTTAGCCCATCTTTTAGAACTAGATAGAGAAATACCTTATGCTTCGTTTAGCAAGAGGATTTCCAAAGTCAAGCAAAAGCTGGGTGAACTTTTGTATGTCCAGATAGGGCCTTGTAAGCTTTTGAGGTAGAAAACACTTGAGAGCTCCAAGTGTAGTTCAAAGAATCTGAAACTTGTGATAAGTTCAGGTTGTCGAGAAAGGCTACAAGCTGTAGAAATTGAGCATGTGCTTGCTCGGAGAGAGGAAGGAAGAAAAAGGTTGGAGGCTTCATTCATTCTCCAGGTCTTATCCACTGTGATTAGTTTGTTCTTTGCAAATGAGTGAAGTTCAGGAAAGAGTAATCTTGGCACTTTGTTATCCCACATGTCTTCCTAGAGAAAGCAGCTTTTACCATCAAATATAATGGTTGAAATCAACCCTTTATATTTGTCTACAAGATTTAGACAACTTTCCACTACAGTAATGCTTCTCCTATACCATGTCAACGTAGGGAATGTTGATTTTGTTGTAGAATTTGTGTAGATTTTTCAGAAGAAGTGCTTCATTGTGTGTTTTGAGATTTAGAACCCCTATACCACCTTCTTTCTTTGTTTTGCAAACCATTATCCATGATGCTTTTGGTGTTTTCCTTGCATTTGCCTCAGCCCATCTCTATAAGCAGTGTTTTCTATGCTTGATAATTTGCTTAATGATTGAGGTAAGGTGGGAGAGAGTGCTCATAATGAATGTAGGAAGAGATGAGAAGATATAGTTAACTAGCTCCAGTCTTCCAGCTCGAGAGAGGAAAGAAGTGCCGGCTAATCCTTTCTCACATTTGCTTACTAAATGCATGAATTCCTCCACTTTAGGGACTATAGTTTTGGACCGCACATTGCTAAAAAAAATTAAATAAAAAATCACAATACATGATTGACGCAGCTTTTATTCAGTATAGTAGAGCCACTTTAGGTCCATAGGTTACAACCATGCCATAGATAGAGCTCTAAGCTCATAGAAATGATCTCGGGTACTTAACGCTACTAGGCTTCACGCATGCCTCCCTGCTTGCCAGCGGGGACCCAGACGATGCTCAGCTTAGAGAGAAAATGGCACACGACTGCATCCCCTGGCTTGAGACTGTGCGCCACTAAGAATGGGTGTCTGGGACTCCACAGCGATGTGTCGAGGTGGCACACAGCCAACGCCTCCATGGCTGGCACCCTGCCATGCTGGGCCACTAGCTTCACCAGGTATGTGGCTACTGGGTTGGTCGTGTGGCAGTAGAACACTGCGTAGGGGTATGTCAGGTCATGGCATGTCGCTGCAGTCAGTGACTTGGAGAGCTTCCGCACGGCCGTTACATTGTACCTCCCGCGTTGCGCCGATGTGCCGTAGGATCGGTGGGCATGTCACCAGAGACAGCACGGATGTTGCGTGTCCCGAGGAGGGCAGCAGGAAGCTTAGCGAGAGACTCAAGGGAGGTGGCGCAGGCAGCCTTCTCACCAGGGAGCAGCTGTGGGTTCTCGCAGGTGTCAAGCGTCCACTATATCTCTTTTCCCATGGCATCGGATGTTGGGGCGAACATGGCAAGGATGTCGGTGAAGCGCTTGGTGGAGAACGGGAGGGCATTAGCCTCGCGGCGAGGCAGTAGAGATAGCAAGGAGGTGGTAGGTGGAATGGTCGGCGTGATTACGGACCCCGGACGTAGGACATCAGGAAAGAAGAAAACATCTGCTGTGGTTGCGGCTGTGGCTGCGGACATCATGGTCATGGATGTCCCCTGAAATAAGTTTGAGATGCCATAAATATCCCATTTTGAAGCCTACTGATGTGCAAGTTTATGGCCTACAACATAATTTAAAGCATTTAACTCATTCACTCTCAAATAAGTGTTATTGTAAAATAAATTAGTGTTGAGGAGCTCAATAAACCTTATTAGATTTAATTACCAAGCATGATAAAATTGAGGCTATATTTTAGTTTGGCCAAGGATATTAAATGTTCATAAAACATGATTAAATAAAATAAAGCCAATTAATCTCAAGTGATTAAATAAGGAGAGAAAGAGGAGGCGAATGGATGAAATGAGGCGTTGAATTAATTTAGATGGGACATGTAGGGGGCTACAATTGCATCAGTTGGACTTTTTTAATGAGGCACTATTATTCTATAAATATTCCTCTACCTAACTGAAAATGTATATTTAAAAATTAAGTTTTAGTTTTCTTCTAACTAAAAGTTATTGCTCTACCCAAACTCAAAAGTTTCAAAAGTATTATCTTTAGGTGTCATATTCATCATTTCTATTAGTTGAAATAAATACTCCAAGATTACTTGTTCTCCGGCTACCTATATATCATCACATGATTCAAAATGTTGCTGATATTATTAAAGAATAGACTCTAGCATAATTCTATAAATTTGTTTTAAAATATATAAAACATTTATATCATTATGCTAGACTTTTAGAATATATTAGCTGACCTTTACTTGTGTCACCTTTTTCACTTGTACTTTGTTTGTTTTCTGGCATGGTGATTCTCAATGCGTGCTCTTCGCTTTCATGAGATCCATATGACATGGTGACCTTCTTCATGTCTTGCTCACCTTTAGCTCCATATGATGTGGTGATCTTTGTAGCATCATCCTCATCACCATGGTACCTATCATATGATGTAGTGGCCTTTCTTAGGCTCTCCTTACCTTGGGCCCCATATGATGTGGTGACCTTCCTTGAGTCCTCCCTTTGGCATCCATATGATGTGGTGACCTTTCTTGAGCCCTCATCACCTTGTAACCCATATGGTGTGGTGATCTTCCTTGTGTCCTTGTCACCTTTGCACCCATATGATGTGGTGACCTTCCTTGAATCCTCCACACCTTGGAACCCATATGACATAGTGACCTTCCTTGAGTCCCCCACACCTTGGTACCCATATGATGTGGTGACCTTTCTTGGGTCCTCACCATTAGATCCATATGACATCGTGACTTTTCTTGATCCCTCCTCATCTTGGGACCCATATGATGTGGTGACTTTTCTTGATCCCTCCTCATCTGGGGACTCATATGATGTGGGGGCCTTCCTTGGTTCCTCCTCACCTTGGATTCCATATGACATAGTGACCTTCCTTGCGTCCTCCTCATCTTGGATTCCATATGATGTGGTGACCTTCCTTGAGCCCTCACCACCATGCAATCCATATGGCATGGTGATCTTCCTTGAGTCCTTGTCATCTTTGCACCCATATGACATGGTGACCTTCCTTAAGTCCTCCACACCTTGGGATCCATATGACATGGTGACCTTTCTTGAGTCCTCTTCACCTTGGGACCCATATGACATGGTGACCTTCTGTGAGCCATCCTCACCTTGAGACCCATATGATGTAGTGACCTTCCTTGAGTCCTCACCTTGGTACCCATATGACATGGTGACCTTCCTTGATTCTTCCTCACCTTGGGAACCATACATTCATAGACATTGTGAATGAGTATTGAAGTATGGATTAGTGATGGTAAAGGCATGTGGTAGAAAGAAAATAAGTATTCGATAAATAGACTTCATGCACATGTTATATGTGTAAATTATATATACCTTTTTATATTTTATGTACTAGGTTGGTTTAATTGTAAAAAGGACAAAAATTAAATGCTAAGAATGAAGAAAATTAAACTTCTTATTTCAATTTTCTTTCATGGTCCTTATAACAAATACGGCCTTGTGTATTTGTTGAGTTATTATGAGGAAATCATGGGAAACAATCAAGACCCATGAAATTTTAGAAGTCAAGCTTGAACAATTTTAACCCATTTATGTGAACAGAATGCTGATCAAAGTTAGTTTAGTGAGAAAAACATTGTGCATCAAATTGATGCTGATTCTAAGAAATCTAATACGAATATTTTGGTTTTACAATAATGAAATGGAATTAGGAATCTAAAAAGTAATATATTGAATTAATTCATAACATAGTAATGATACCACTTTAATTCATTGCATGCAACATAACTTATAACAACCTCAAAGCATGTGGAATTTTTTCCTTTCCAATTGACAACATGTGGAGTATACATGCTCTCATTTAGACCAAGGACTAGTTTTTGTGACCTGGAAAATCAAGATTTGAGAAGAGATGGAACATAATGAAAATAAAATAACCTAGTAAGAAAAGAATTGTACATAGAAAACTAAACAAAAGAAATAATCTTGTATTTACAACGGATGGAGTATATTAGAGCCAGTTTGGTAGAGCTTCACTTTCTGATTCTTGAGCTTCACTCCTTGATTCTTTGATGGAGTGGTTCTGGCGGCGGCACATTGGGGAGTAGGTGAGAAGTAATTTTGGTGGTGATTGAATGGGGAACATGAGGAGCGGTTTTTTAGCTCCTAGCTTATAGTGTAAATGAAGAAGTGAATTTTGTTAACTCTCCACTAGAATTCAGTTACACATTTGGTAGGGCTCCACAAAATCTATTCCTAAGAAGCTGGGAGCTAAGCTCTAGTAAACATGCTCTTAGTATGGATTTTTGAGAATTCTTACTATTAAAACAAAGCATGAAGTACTGAAATAAATAATCTTATAAGACTCTCTTTGACTATCCATGTTTGTGCTTTCAAAACAATTATTTCAATAATATATTAATTATATATGCCACAAAACTGACACCATAAGACTTATTTCTCAAAATCACTTCTTAGTAATTATGGTTTTTGAATTATTAATAAAATATTACATAAAATATTTATTATTTCAGGTCATTTGGATAGTCAAAGTACGTCCTATAAAGGGAAAATTGCATAAACGATCCCATGCCATTTGGAAATTTGATATTACACCCCCATAAGGCATTTTGTTGAAAATTCATACACCTTAGTTGATTCTATTACAAAAACCACCCCCACTAAGTATGTTCTTTGCCCATACTCCTCGTGTTTGGCCATGCTAACCTTATAAAGCTTGTCTAGGGCTTGGTTTATGCTTATTCATCATTTTGAGGTGATGAAATTATGCAAATAGTAAAAATCGTTATGACCGCTTGCTTGTCCTCGCTTTTTTACTAAAGCTCTAGAAATTGTTGGGTTTGTACTTTTAGAGTGTCTAATTTTGATAAAGACTACATTAGGAGCTCTATGTTGAAAGAAGAGCACAATCAAATTAATACATGTGTGGAGTGGTTTGTGCAACATAACCAAATAGGAGAGAGATTGGGTCTTGCAACAAAGCATTTTATTGATGGAATCTTAGAAACCAAAGTGAAACTAGCACATGGGGTGTTTTTATTTGTGATCTTCCTTGATAACAAAGTTAATAGAGAGTATCAAATTGAAATTTAATTTAGAAAGGAAATTTGAGTTACCAAAATTTCTATGATACATAATATTTGTAATTGTAACTAATCTAAAAAAAGGTCTCTCTATTTGATCAGTATTTCATCAGTTGAGAAAATACTACTATCGTATCCTTATTCAGCATGCCTTAACCATACTCGACAATTGAACTCTTACCAGATCAAAAGTGAACTTACTTTTTATGCATGGGCGGATCCAACGGTGGGGCGGGGGGGGGGGGTGCTCGATCCCCCCTACCCATACCGGAGCTGTGGAAAATCCCGTAGAGCCCCCATGAATTTTTAGACAAAGTTCTATAGTGTAGGGGGCTGAGACTTAAGATCGAGCAGTATGTGTTATTCAGTCCCCCCTAAAATATTTCCTGGATCCGCCGCTGTTTTTATGTCACTGAGAATGAAAACTTGGTGAGCTAGGAAATTTATCTGGCACTAGAAGTTATGGCCCTTATTAGCGACTCAAAAAATCCTGTTCTTGCTTTCCTGCCAGTTGGAATGAAATTTTAGGTGCCGCTAATGAAGCTATAAAACAAGAACATATTGTTTGTTTTACAGAATACCATGACTCGCCTCGGTCCTGCTCTATTATCTAGACAGGCCCCATATGTAAGACAGTAGGAGAGAATTTTCCAAGTTGGTGAAAAATATAGTTTTATCGTCTGATAAGAGCAACTCCAAGAGACTTACTATATCCCTACTAATTGTTAGAAATAAAAATTTTGGTGAAAAAAATACTCTCCAACAGTTTGTCTAACTGGATATCAAATATAGTCAGTGAAAAACAAGGCGTGATTCCGCGCTCACCTAGGCGCAACTAGGTGCTGGGCGGAGGCCTCCCGCGGGGCCTAGGGGGTGAGGCGGCATCTAGGCGGTGGGCGCGCGCGTTTGCGGAGGAGGTGGCGCCTGGGCGGGATGCGCGCTCGTTTTGGGCGGGCAGAGAGCGCTGCAGCAGAAGCCGGGCGGCTCTGCGCTGAAAAAGAAAGCGGCGGCGCGGGAAGGATCGATTCGCCGGCCACGGTACGTCTCTGGCCGATTCGTCATGTGCGAAGCTTGTACTTGACGCCGTGGACCCGTTTTCCGCATCACCGGCCATCTTCTCCCTCCGTACAGGCTTCCTCGCGCCGCCTCCGTCCGCCGGCCCGCCGCCGCCCCTGGAGCTCCCGTGCGCCCCCTCCTCGCCGGGCCGCCACTGCTGGTGAGCTCCACGCCTCACCTGCCTCGCTGCCCCTCGCCCCGCCTCTCGGGAACCCCAAAGTGAGGTCCGCCCGCCCCCTGCTCCTCTCTCCTCTGCTCGGCTGCTCCTTTCTATCTTCCTGCTCTGTACGCCTAGAAAACGCATAGAAAACGCCTAGGCGCTAGGCAATGGGTCACCGCATAGAAAGCGACTAGCGCCTAAAAAAACAATGAATATAGTCATCATCTATTCTGGATTTCTCGCTAGCCAAAGATGATGGCATGGTGAGTCTCTAGAGTGGGCACGAGATATATAAAAGTTATTGGAGAGGGAAAGGATATAGAGAATGATTTTTTTATATAACTCTTCAAATGATGATTTAGAGAATGAGTTTTAGAAAGACTCTTTGATAGGGTCACCCAAGTTGGTAATAGTACAAATCAATTAAACTAGCTCAAGGTAGGAAAACTTGTTTTACACATCAATTTCCTGGCTATTTAATTTACAAGTATCTACTTTTGTACTCCCTCCACTCCAAATTAAGACGTTTTGGGAGTACATACTCATTTCATTCTAAATTATAAGACGTGCTACGCACTTAGATATATATACTATGTCTAGATATATAATAAAAATAATATATAAAATAAAATGTTATACAACACATGTGTGTTTTAGGAGAAAAAACACATGAATTTTTTTCTCTTTGCTTTGGCTATATGTCTGTTGCTTTGGCTGGCGTGCGTGGAAACAGTCCCTGTGGGCTGGCCTGACGGAGAAAAAAATAAGATCATGTGACGGAGCCACATGAGCTTTGACATGATGGCACCAGCGGGGTACCTTTTCTTTTACGATTTGTGATTTGTCCTTTTATAGAAAAAAAATTATTTCTTGTAATGTGTGCATCTGTGGATCTGTGATCTTATGATTTGTGATTGTCTGGAGGTAGAAAAATGCTGGACGTAGAAGGAGGATGGAGGCTATTGGATCTTAATTCTATGATGTAAAAAAATTCATGTGTTGAAACTGCATAAAACACATGTATATAAAAAACAAAATATTTTATAATTTTGAACAGAAGACCGGTAACTTTTACTCAGACGTGGAAACAGAAAACAGAGAGTATATATACCTGTAGATTGGGTCAGTAGGTCGTGGATGGCTTGGGGCATCGGGGTCTCAGGAAGCACTGCTCGCCAATAGTCCGTCGGTGCCAGCGTCGACGTCGCCATGGCGTCTGCGGCCGCTGGATGCGCAGCTGCTGCACAAACCTGCATCCACGCAGCATAATGCAACTCGTTAATGAAACACCAAAAGTAATCGTTTCAGCAAGGCCGGCCCTCTTGCTGCTGCTAAATGCGGTTCGGCTGTCATTATAAGCCGGTTTATCAGTCATGGTATAGTATTTTTCTCTTTCAACAAATTAGTTATATAAATTAGCATAAACGGCTTATAGACCAGCCGAACGGAGCGGGAACAGATGTTTGGTTCCACCACCGGCAATGATAACTCAAATGGAACAGACAACGAGAGACAACAAAATGGAAATCAACGAATAGTTGTGCGCACTCACCAGAAAGAGTGTGACGAGTAGTGACACAGCAAAGGCATCCATACTGGGCATTGCTCTGCACCAGTATGCACACTGCGTCCGCCGTTCATTTCCATGCCGATCGAGATTGAGAACGTATGAATTGGGCTACGTATTACTCAGTGAACAACAGTGCGTACATATAGGCATGGTGGGAAGCCTGAGTCGGCAGGCTCACGAGCCGGTTTGCACTCTAACACTCTCCCGCGGTCAGAACTAGGAGCACCGTGAACATTCAGACTGGACCTAAACTCCGTGAAGATAGACGTCGGCAAACCTTTGGTGAAGATGTCAGCGTACTAGGACGAGGTGGGGACGTGCAGGACGCGGAGTTCACCGAGGGCGACTTGTTCTCTGACGAAGTGTAAGTCAATCTCGACATACTTGGTTTGTTGATGCTGGACTGGGTTGGTGGAGAGGTAGACAGCACTGACGTTGTGACTAGGGTGGCACGGCGGAGAGGACAATGAAGCTCTTGCAGAAGTTGTCACAACCAGCAAGCTTCATCTACCCCATTTGCAACATCTCGATATTCAGCTTCTACACTGGACCGAGACACCGTAGGCTGACGCTTGACGACTAGGAGATAAAATTGTCCCCGAGGAAAACCGCATAACCCGATGTGGATTTGCGTGTCAGGACAGCCCGCCCAATCAGTATCCGTGTAGATCAGCTGGTGAGGTCCGGTGGAGGTGAAGACCGAGGTCTAGAGTGCCCTGAAGATACCGGAGGATGCGCTTCAGAGCGCCGAGATGAGGCTCCCGAGGGTCATGCATGTACAGGCAGACCTGCTGAACAACATACGCAATATCCGGACGAGTGAAGGTGAGGTACTGAAGTGCTCGAGCAAAACTGCGGTAATGTGTAGGGTCGGTGACCGAGACACCATCAGCAGAGAGCTTGGAGTGAGTATCCACAGGGGTGCTGCAAGGCTTGCAGTCACGCATACCAGCACGGTCTAGAATATCCAGCATATGCTGTCGCTGAGAAAGAAATAAGCTCTCATCTCTGCGCTCAACAGTAACACCGAAAAAATGATGCAGACGCCCCATGTCTGTCATAGAGAATTCTTGGTGAAGTGCTGAAATAATGCGCTGAAGAAGACTCGTAGACGATGCCGTGAGAACAATATCATCAACATAGCGAAGCAGGAGAGCCATATCAACACCTTGGCAGTAGATGAATAGCGAAGTATCACACTTAGCTTCAACAAAACCAAGTGAGGTGATGTGACAGGGGAAGCGGGTGTGATAGGCGCGAGGTGCTTGCTTCAATCCATAGAGAGATTTGTTCAGACGGCAGACATAGTCAGGTCTGGAGGAGTCAACAAATCCAGTCGGCTGAGCACAATAAACAGTCTATGTCAAAGTCCCATGAAGAAAGGTGTTCTTCACATCAAGCTGATGAATAGGCCAGGAACGAGACAGTGTCAAAGTCAGAACCACCCAAATAGTTGTAGGCTTATGACGGGGCTGAAAGTCTCATCATAATCAACTCCCGGACGCTGTGTGAAACCGCGAAGGACCCACCGAGCCTTGTAGCGGTCAAGAGAGCCATCGGACAGGAACTTGTGACGAAAGATCCATTTTCCGGTAACGACATTAATACTAGACGGGCGAGGAACTAGAGTCCAGGTGTTATTAGCCTACAGTGGATCGAACTCAGCTTGCATGGCGAGGCACCAAGCTGGGTCAGAGAGGGCGGTGCGAACGGACGTTAGCACCAGAGAGAGAACCGCTGCATTGAGGTTGAGGTGGTCCACAGGCCGACGAAAGCCGGATTTGCCACGGGTGCGCGTGCTGTGCGTGTTCATGAAGGGAACAATGTCCTATGGCGCCATGGTGGTCATCCGGCCGGTGGACCTCCTGGCGCCGCTGGCAGCAACCTGGGACGAGGAGTCCGCAGGGGTAGCGGCACCAAGTGGTGACGTCGACGGCCTAGGCTAGGAGGCAGCTAAGGGACTAGGGGCATGCGCCAGCACCGAGGCACCAGGGGTGTGTGGCGCCGAGCCGGTGGGGGCGCGGACGGTGCTAGGAGCACCAGGGGGGCCTCCGTGCCACCGGGACGTCAAGTACCTATAGCCACGGCTCTTGGCCCAATGGGCAAAGAGGAAACATCATCATCGTCGCTAAAAAAATTGAGTGAGGTAGGGTACTGAGGAGATGTGGACATCTCAGAAAAGGGAAACAGGGCCTTGTCGAACACAACATGTCGGGAGACGATGATGCGATTAGAATGGAGATCGAAGCACCTGTACCCTTTGTGATCCGAGGAATACCCTAGAAAGACACACAAGGTGGAGCGAGGTGAGAGTTTATGTGGAGCGGTGGAGGAGAGGTTAGGGTAGCACACACAGCCGAAGACCCGAAGATGACTGTAGGAGGGCTGGGTGGCATAAAGGGCGAAGAAGGGAGTGCGACCATCAATGGTTTTGGTGGGTGACGATTAAGGAGGTATGTGGTGGTGTGAAGGGAGTCAGCCCAATAAGCCGGAGGGAGACTGGCCTGAAACAGAAGCGAGCGCATGATGTTATTGACTATGCGAAGGGTGAGCTCAGTGCGTCCATTTGCTGGGAAGTGTACGGGCACGACATCCGGAGGACTACACCATGGGTGAGGAAGAACGTGTGGGCCGAGGAGTGATCAAACTCGCGGTCGTTGTTGCACTGAACTGCCTTGATAGGGGAGTCGAACTACATGTGTGTGCGTACGGAAAAAAGTGAGACAGGGAGCCAAAGGTGTCGGATTTGAGTTGGAGAGGAAAAGTCCAGGTGTAGTGAGTGCAATCATCCAAAATAACAAGATAATATTTGTAGCTAGACACACTAACAACTGGAGATGTCCAAAGATCACAATGTATTAAATCAAAGGGACAAAGCGCATGAGAGTTTGACATGCTAAAAGGGAGACGCACATGGCGACCTAATTGACAGGCATGACAAATATGATCTGTTTGGCGCTTATTACATGATATAGCATTGGAACTAATGACCTTGGACAGAGCCTCATGACCGATGTGACCAAGGCGGCGATGCCAGAGGGTGGTGGAGGTGGCAGCGGCAGTGAGGGCTGGAGTGCTGGTTGGTGCCGGTGGGAAGAATGAGTAGAGGTCGCCCGTGCTATTGTACCTGGCGATCACGCTCCGAGTCTGTTGGTCCATCACAGAAAGGCCAAATGGGTCAAACTCGATGGAACAATTATTATCAGTGGTGAAACGACGGACGGAAATCAAGTTCTTAATAATGTGAGGAGAGACCAAGACATTAGAAAGAAAAAGCGGACGCCGTGTGGTGGAAAACGAGTGTGACCCAATAGATGTAACGGGAAGCAACGCTCCGTTACCGACAATGATAGATAAAGGACCAGAGGACGGGGGAGGGTGAGAGGAGGATAGAATACCAGTGGTGTTGACCATGTGAGAGCTGGCGTCAGAGTCAGCATACCACTCGGTCAGCGGTGGGTTCAGCGACATGGTGCTGAAGTTGCATACGAGTGACGGCATATCCTAGGACCCCCCTGCATCGGTGTCCAGGGGGAGGGCTGCTGCTGCTGCGATGGTGGTGCAGCATAGGGGACGGGCGGTATGCCCCCGTAGCCAAAACCAGGAGGGGCGCTGAGGCTGTAAGGCGACGGCGGCGGCCCGGAGTAGAAGTACGGCTGCTGAGGCGCCTAGTGCTGCTGCTGCTGGGGCAGTCCAGCGAATGCAGCTGGTGGATGCCGCTGATGCGGCCCCGAGGCCCCATACGGGTGCGGCCAAAACTGCACCGTGCCCGCCCAGGGTCGAGAGAAGGGCACCGGCGGACGAGGACCCCCAGTGTTGGAGCTGTTCTGCTGCTACTGCTTGCCGCCTTTGCCACGGCGGCAGCCGGAATGTTGGGAAGGCTAGCCGCCCTGCCCGGTGTAGGTGCCACCCGAACGACTACCACCGGTAGAGGTTCGTGGGGTGGCGTTGGGGGCAGCAACAATGGCGGAGGGTGCTGCGGGTGGGGCATCGGACTAGGCGGTGACGTCGTCGAGGTTGATCTCCTTGAGAAGGAGCAGCGTGCGCGCCTCCTCAAAGGTGGGGAAGGGCTGACGCATCTTCAAGTTGGACACCATGGGCCAAAACTTGCTGCTAAGGCCGCGAAGCAGCGTGAGGACGAGTGTACGGTCACCGATGGGGTCGCCGAACTCGGTGAGGGTAGCAGCCATCGTCTCGAGGCGGCGGCAGAAGTCGGTGATCGTGGAAGCCCCCTGCTTGGCCGTGCGGAACTCGGCGGAGAGTTGTAGGGCGCGCGATTCGCGCTGGCCGAGGAACTCGTGTTCGAAGTAGGTCTAGGCGCTGTGCGCGTTAGGCCTGCGCAGCATCACCGACTACTGGAGGTCGGCGTGTATGGTGTTGTAGATCCATGTGAGGACGGTGTAGTCCATCTGCACCCACGCCGAGCGATCGTCGTTGACCACGTCGTCGAGAACGTGATCGGTTAGGGCATACTTGCCCAAGACGATGAGGAAGAGGGCGCGCCACCGATTGTAGTTGTTGGCGGCATGATCCAGCATGAGAAGCACGAGGACCTTGATGTTAACGATGGCAATGGCCTAGGCGTGGACAGCGGCGTGCTTGGCCTCGTAGGCGTCGAGGGCGGCGGCGCGATCCGCGGTG